GGTGCGGTGCCATCTGGACCTGGGCTTCAGATCAGGACCCAGGCAGCCGGAAGGGGACTTGACCCCTGTGCAGGTAGGAGCCGGTTGCAGCGGTCCCAAGCCCACCTGTGGTCGGATGTGGACACAGAGCAGTGAGCCCTGGGGCAGACAGGACTGGGGTGGGGAATTAATGAATTCACTGAGCATTACAAACCACAGTCGCCAGCCTGCGGGCGCTTGCCAGCCAAAAGCACGACCAGGAGGAGCGGCAGCGGTGAAACCCTGCGCACCCACGGCGCAGGAGGGGAGCCCCAGCCACGCTCCCCCCCTACCCCACGCTGCCTTTCTCCTGCGGGCCAGCTCTGTGCTACCAACTTACCAGCAAGATCCCACCGTGAGTCTGCAGCAGAGCATTCACATCCAGCACCCGGGGCAGGAGCCCATGTGCAGGTTTGCCGTAGAGTGCAGTGTCCTGCCATCGGCCAGCCGGGTGCGACTGCAGAGCCCAGAGCTTTACGTTTGGGTTGATGCTTGTTGAAAACGGGCAAGCGACCGTTAGCTAGAGAGTGAGTTTCTTAAAGCTTTTCAAATTGCCCCCTTCGTTATACAGGCCTCTAAAGCTCATCGACTGATGCTTGCTTTGCTCTTGTATAACCGAGCAACTGCTTCTGTTTAACCACTGCTTCCCTTTGGCAAGTGATTTGTCGGGTCTAAGATAACTTATTTTTTTTAAGGAAAAAAAAACTTTAGAGATTTTTTGATGACCGTTCAAGCCACGTTCTCTCTGCGGGTGCACGACACACATTGTCAGAGGAGTGGGGCTCAAATTCTGTATTATAAGTGCATATGAACTTGTAAATAGGATGTCTTCATTTTTTTCCCCAACCGCTATTTTTTTTGGACACTGCCATCACAAGCAACCAAAAGGCAGGACATTCAAAGCTAGGTCACATTTCTGTGTTACTTCCCAGTCCTTTTGTTACCTCTTGAGTTGTTTGTCACTTGAGATGTCTCAGCAGTGTCAGATAGCCCAGTTGTCTCCCTCGGACAGATGAATTAGGAGTTGGCCAGGCAATCAATACCAAAATGTGACAAACACCCTGGCAGTATCACTGGGGAGAAATGTAGAGGGGGTTTTCGTGCCACAGACACCGATTGCAGGATATGGGGTGACCCTGTAGTGAGAAATAATTTTTGCTTTCTTGAAGTCTGCTCCCATATTTTAAGTTGCAAACACCAAAAGGCTCAGGACGGATTGGCTTACGCCTTCCATCTGGGTCTCAGATGGGACTGGGGGAGGAAGTTAATTGGTGCTGACGCCAAGACTTCTGCTGAAATTACAAATCTCCCCCCCCCCCAAAAAAAAAATCATCCTCCCCAAGCGGGAAGCTCGCCGACAAGACCACTTTACCTCCGGGATGCTTAGCCCGGACCAAACACTCCTCCCCACCGGCTTTGTGGCTCCCTTCAAGCGGCTGCAAGACCCCTGTGCTCCCTCCCTCCGCAGGCGCCGGGTGCTGACAGCTGGCAGCCCTGTGCCTTCTGCAGCCGGGCGCCGGACAGGGAGGTGCAGTGAGGGACCCTGCCACACCTGGGTGGGTGCTCCCGCCGTTAATGCACACATGCCCTTAGCGCCCACCCGCACCCATGCCTGGGTCACTCCTCATCCTCGCAGAGCACGTCCTTTCTCTTGGTTACGCTGTCTCCTTTCCAAGGCCGCCTGTCGCAGCATCTGCGCGGCTCCTTGGGCTCAGTACCTCT